GTAACAACCCATCTGTTAGCCACCAGTGATCCACCACAGAAATGTCTTTTTCTCCTTGTGTCCCAAAGACTCGCCATCCACGGGTAAGACCCCTTTTCGACCTTGTCCCCGTTAACGATTTTGCCGCGAGTCGCAAGGGTTGGTCTGCCGCAGTCTAAAGGGAAAAGAGAGAATTTTTTAACAGAAATGTTACGCCGAATATGTTCATCCTTCCAAATATGACAAACTATATTCATCATGGGAAATTCACACGTGTGCGCATGCCAGTTATCCTAAACTCTTTTCCCCCCTCCCCCCACCGGATTTAACTCCTGTATAGAGCAGCAAGGAAAGAGTTCAGCAACAACAACATTCGGTCCACATACAGATATTAAGAGAGAATCTTTCTAATTAGCAAACATAGCACTGCAGAAGTCGAAAAATCGATTTTTCTCTCTTTTCGTCCACAAATAGCTCTCAGGTAGATATAAAACGTGATATAGTTTTTTAGAGCTCAAAGCGCTTTAAATTCGAGAAAATCCAGGAAAAAAATAACCCAAGCTGATTTTAATACATGTTTTACAACAACATAAAAGTGTTGCAAAGGCGAAGTTTTAAGGAATTTGGAGTTATGGCACATGTCGAAAAATATCTCTGAATTTTATTCGTAAATTAGGAATGCGACCTAACTGAAAAGGACTTTTTTAAAAATTGCCATTCTCCAATGGCGCTCAAGTCAAGTTCTAACCTGTTTTGGATAGCTGGATACTTTGTCTAGCAAGAAAGAGAATCGATAAGTTCTGGTTCTCCTTTACACGCGAACGCAAATTAAGTTTAGATTACTAATTTTACGCCTTTGCGATCGGCCATTTTGGTGACCGTCGAGGCGACAATCACGTTTCATATCTACCTAAGAACTTTTTCTGGACGAAAAGAGAAAAAAATCAATTTTTTAGACTTCTGCCGCCAAATCCAAATTTTGCTTGGTTTTTGGTGACATTTACTCTTAACACTTATTAGAAGAAGAAATAGAGGGGCTGGCGACCTGAAATTTGAAACCCAGGGACTTAACTACGACTTAAACGATTTTGTCATAACTGAATTCAAATTAGTTACTACGATTATCAGTTGAGTAAGGCGGGACGAAAGTTTGGTCACCAAGTTTTAACGTAAAAATCGTGTTGTTGTCACGAGCAACTTACCTCGTTTCCGTTGGTAACAATATCAACAGCCGTTGGTCGCCTGTCGCGTCGCCTACAATTTCGCGCGCTTTGCTGCCAATTGACGTCAAAGGCGGACAAGTTGCCAACGGATACGGAGCCAGTTGCTCGTGACAACAAAACGATTTTTACGTTAAAACTTGGTGACAAAACTTTCGTCCCGCCTTACTCAACTGATAATCGTAGTAATATGGAGATTCTCTTCGTCGCAGTATATGTATACAAAAAGCAGTTCTTAGAATCGGTATTGTAATATCCAGAAAAGATCAAGTTCTCAGGTGACGACTTCAATTAAATTTTGAATTGATCCTGGAAATATCAGGGTTGAATTAAATTCCTTGCATTTAAAACGATGCATGTTTAGCTATGTGAGTTTCATATCTTATATCACTAACCTGCGTCCAGCGGTCGCACCACCTTAACATAAGCTCGTGCCAGTTTAGTTCCCGCCCTGTTTGTTGCGTTACAGATATACCAGCCCTTATCCTCGAGGTAAGCGCGCAGAATCAACAAACTGCCAATCTTCGCGAAAGCAAAGTTGTCTCCTGAAACGGGTTTCCCATCTTTATACCACGTGATCTTTGTATCCGAAGTTGACGCAGAACAATGTAAAATGGCGCTGTTCGTTTCTGTGAGCGATTCGTTACTTGGCGTCACGCGAAATCGCGGAGGAGCTGAAAGTAAACATTAATAATGTCTCAGAATCGTCATAATTCGATTTTAATGGTGGTCTGTATTACCTTTTCTTCTAAACTAGTTTTAATTTTTCCCCTTCCATGTAAGTCACACTGAGCGAGTTCTGTTGGGAATCCTTAACTCTGATTGGTTCACTCATGGTCGTCCTTTCGCTAATTAAACACAATGGCGCGTTTAAAAAAGTAGGTTTTTGTCTGCAAACAGTCAGACTTTCTACTACGACAATGCGAATACTCGCCCTCTTTTCAGTCTGTGAGCGATACTCAGCTCGGCTGAACTATGACCAATAGGCTATTCGCTCGTAGAAAACGAGAACTCGTAGCTAAACTGTCAGTTATGAAGACTGTGTCTCTCAGTGAGTGTTTATTCTAGACTTCGGTATGAGCAGATGAAATCAAAGCACACTTACCAAGGCATTCAGGAGACTTATCACTCCATTTACCGTCGCCCATACAGGTACGGGTCACGGGACCATGTAGATTGAACTGAGGGAAACACGTGTAGCGAATCACAGTGCCCTGTGGGTAATCATCCTCTTCCTCAGGGGAGGGGTGTCTGTCACCATTCCTTGGGTTGCCTGGATCTGGGCAGCGTATGCGAGAATCAACTGAAAAAAGAAATAAGAAATATGGTTTAAAATATAGGAATACGAACAGTCAGCGGTCAAACGCGAAGGCACAAGGCCAAAGATCGAGTAACGTGTAAGAGGTTTATCAGTGTCATGGTACAAAAAAATTCTCGACTAACCAAAATACTAGACCACCAAACTGGTGGGTTGAAAACTCCATTCAAATTCTGCACACAGCAAGAGCTTAAGAAGAAATCCAATAGAAAATCGAGCAATTTCACTTTGAAGTGGACAAAAACCTTGTGCCAGAATAATCACATTACCGGTAAGTATATTACAGTCCTTTTCGCATTTCCTAAAAGCTAAAGATATAAATGTTTGCCTGAAATACACCAAAAACAATTTCCCATGGGAACTCAAGAAAATGAATTTCAAAGTCCAGACAAATGTGTAAACACAGGTAAAATTTCATCATCAGTTCCTTTTCACCAGTACTTTCAAGTGTTTCAAACAGTCGCAAAGAAGTTTGCAAAGCAATGTAAATAATCTTGATACAAGGGTTTGTCCATTTGTTACTCGAACTTCAATTACGGCAGTTTTTGGCTTAACAGTTGTAAATTTGAGGCAATTTTTTTTTAATTGCTAAACGAGCTAATACGAAACGACTTGAAGTGCGTCTAAGGGACTGGGTGCCACAAACCTGGAGGCGTAGCCTGAAACACAGTAAACTCTGTTGGCCGATCAAGGCCCTGGGCTATAGTCTCGACATCTTTACCAGTCTCTTTATCGACTGAGTGAATCCCGGTCGTTTCCCAGTCACTCCAGAAAAGTCTGAAAGGAATATATAATGAGAAACACCTTCAGTGACAGAAACAATTGAAATAATTTCAGCATTAGATGAATAAATTAGGNTTACGACGATTTTCCAAAGATTTCAAAAATGTGCGAACATTTTCCAAGATTTTTAAAGAAGTATCAACTGCCTGCTCGTCCGATGAGCTGTTGCTTAGAACTTTACAAGGTAAAAACTACTTGAAATTTCTCATGTCACGATGAGCTTTTTCATAAGTTGCCAAGAACGCCACTCTAGTCAACACCATCCAATATCGCACACTAAGTATTCCCAATATGTGCTAATAATTCAGGCTCGATTTGCCGCTCTCTCGGGTACGATTCCCGCAGGTCTTCCGAAGTAGTGCGGGCATATTATCCCGAACAGCTGCAGGTAATCGAGCCTGTGGTAGGTACGTCATGTATGGGAGCATATATTGTACCACAGTAGCCTGCTAACAATTGCGCTCCAGCAAACTAGGCGATTTCACAAACCTTCTGGCCTTATAAAGAACTAGCGCTCTAGGCTTATCTAAGCCTTTAAGTATCGTCCTCCGGTTTCCACCATCTAAGTCAGCACGCTGTATGTTCTGATAAGTAACATCAGTCCAGTACAGTAAATCATCATCCACATCCAGCGTCAAACCATCCACTACTCCAACATCTTTCCTGTGTGGAAGAATCAAACCTAACTCTTAGCACAGGAGACACTACACTATGCATGACATGAAGTGGGTAATGGACAAGCACGGCAAATCTTCGGTGATGTGTTCATTTAATTCAATCAATCAGGAATTTGCGGGACCACTCCAATTTGGCAGGTACGTGGAAAAATGTTTTTGATCGAATTACAATGGAACCCCGCCTTACGGTCACCTCGTTAATACGGCCACTTTGTTCTGGTCGGAACAAAAGCTCAGTCAGTCATTTTCTTATTTAAAGAACCCCTCTAATACGGGATGGCGACATAAATTGAATATCAATGTAAGAATAAACGGCATCGGGGCTAGAAAAGTTAAGGTTTATGAATAATGAAGTTGAACATTCAGGATTGGCGGAAGAATTTTCATCTTCAAGAGGTAACTGTTTCACATAACATAATACACTGGATCGAGACAACCTGTTAATCCTATCATTGATGGATTTGAAGGTCCTTTTACTTGGGGTTTCAATATTCCGCTCACCAAACCAACGTGTCTACTCCTCCAACTCCACTCACTGACATTCGCTTTATTGCATTGGCTGAGGTGTCACTCCAATAAATGCGCTTATCAACCGGGTTATAATCCAGTGCAACAACCATCTCGGGGTTATCTATCTGCAGCTTCTGAAAAACGGCTCTATCTTGTTTGGTGTCCACGAAGAGCTGCCATATTGACGAAGTGGCAGCAACCAACACAGAGTAACTTGGTAGAGGAGCTGTGAAATAAAAACAGGAGAAGTTAGTGTTTGAAGTTAATCCTTCGACTTTCAAAGGAGCTGCGTCACGCTTTCTGCAACTTTAAAAGTTAAACCTAAATTTTTAAAGTTCGTTGTTTGTAATCCGTGTTAAATGTTCCCCATCCTTAACCATCCTTGTTCCTTTATGGTTTAATATTATCTCTTCTGTCTTAGTAAACTATTGTTTTCAAGTTTCCTTAAATTTAAAGGTAATTTTGTACGTAGACAAAATAACTCAAAATACCGTGACTGTTAGACTCGAGGTGTGCCCTTCTTTCTGACTGCGTAAGGTGATAAAGGCTTTAAACTAATATGGCGAGAATAAGAATAATGTTTGCAGCAAACGGCAAAGATTGCCTCTGATTTTGTTTCAGCCTTTCCCTCTAATCGTTAAAAAGGTAGAAAACGTCACCTATCCACAGCAAATAGAAGTATCTCACTCAAGTGTAAAAACGGCTTAAGACAGACGACAAAACGTTTTGTCGTTTGCACTTTAAGTCCTCCTCTCTAATGGTTTGCTGTAAGATGCCAATATACGAACTATAACTAAACTGAGACAGATATGATGAAAATTAGCCCACCCGGACAGCATTTGGCAAACGCATCAACAGGTGAAATGTGACAGTAGGAGTCAGCAGGACAGGCATTCCTTGGAGCTCCTCTTCCACAGAAATAATCACGTCTGGTCAGCGGGTTTTGTACGGGAGTCTTGCCATGACATGGAGGGACTGGGTAGAGAGGAAAGATGAGTCACGGTCAAGATAAACTCACTAATCAGGTACCGTGTGCGGTAGGTTCAGCGCTTTAAGAAAGAAATGTTGAAAGGAAAACTCTGAGTATTACAGAATGCAAACGATAAGGTTCGTTTTCCGCCTTTCTCACTCTGGTCCGGTCGCGTCTCTCCAGAAGGTCCTGCCCGAGACCTTACCATTGTCTCCTACAACAATTCTCACACTTTTTTACTTCAAATTCTTTCAGACTTCGAAGACCATGAAAACCGGAAGTGGCGTTGAACTTTTGCGTTTGATCACTGTCAACAACTCACCGTTCTGACAGGTTTTTCCGTCTCCCATGAGCTGCATGTCCGCTGGACACGAACACTGCACCTTCCAATGACGTAATGACGTGCACGTATGACTGCAACCGCCGTTGTTAAATGTGCAAGAGTCTGGAAACAATAAAGAAAATATTAAAATCCTGGCAAAAATGTTCAGTTTGAGAAAACTCAAGTATTTGTTCCCATAAGCCTTATAATATTGCTTTTAGTAAGAACGACCATAATACCCACCGCCTGTCTTCGAGACACACTTATCTTGCATTGCGCAAGTCTGCTGTGATGTACAGAGTGGACTGCAAAGGGGTCGCGCTGCCATGGTAATCTGGCGGGCCAATACCACGCCCGCCTCCTGCCACGTGACAAATGCACCTCGGAGGTTGCTATTGTAAAGTGTGACAGGATTCTTTTGTTGCCTGCCAAACGTAAGTTGGAGATTACCTGCGAAGCAATTAAGTTTAGATAAGTTCCAAGGTGGAAGGATGCGCTATTCAAAATGAAGATATTTAGTCTCCTTACCTGTTACAATAAACTTAATTGTGTGCTAGTTTTTTGCTAGTTTTGGCTATAACCATCTCATATCCAACAAGCGTGAGTGGAATAATTGTCTTATTAAAAACGCCCCCAAAATATAGAAAACCAAAATGAAAAAAAATAAAATAAAATAAAAACGATCCAAAAACTACGCGCACGCTTACCATATTTGTAGAGCACGGTATACTGGCCGATATACCATGATGGCTAAGCCATCATGGTAATTGCATTATCCAACGACCCAGTATTTAATAATACCTATTGGTCACTTACCTTGTAGAAGTTCTCCCCCAATCACCCATGTTCCTCGACCTTGTTCTTGCCATAAGAGAAAATGATGGCCGGTTATAGGAAAGTAGACAGCTGACGGCGTTCTCACTCGCTTTGTTTCCAAGCAACTGTACGGTTTTACATCCCGAATGTAACGCTGACGTGTCAATAGGACCGAGGCTGTTGAAATAAAAGGCTTGCCTTTGTCGTTATCTTCCCAAAATAAGATCAATCTGTTTGAAAGAAGAATACAGGGAATGAAGAATCGCCATATAGAACATGACCTATTCAATCACCTTCAATAGCGTGACCTATACCATATATAAGACCAGTTTGTATGTAAAGGGAATCACCTGTAGATTCGAGGGTAAATAAGGTTGTTGTTGATGATGATGATGATGATGATGACGACGACGACGACGACCTTCAATAGCGTGACCTATTCCAGTTATGATACCAGTTTGTATTCAACAAGCATGACGTGACTTTTAAAACACTCTAAAGCTCTGTCCAAGCGATCAAACATTGCTTGGTGACCAAACATGTTTATGTTGTAGTGATTGGCCAAACGGTATCAAACGTGTTTGAACGAAAAAAATGTTTTTCAATCTCAGTCGAGGCATTTTGAGTTATTTGGCCACGAACAAAATTACCTTTACATTCAAAGGAAGGAAACCTGAAAATAATAGTTTACTAAGATAGAAAAATACCACAGAGATTAAAATAAACCATAAAGGAACAAGGATGGTTAAAGATGTAGAAGATTAACTCGAATTACAAACAATGAACTTGAAAACTTTAGGCTAAGTGGAACCGTGATGTATCTCCATTTGGTCAAAAGACAAATACTTGCATCCGGGATAATTTACCTGTCAGTGAGTTCATTGTAGTAGCCAGTTGTCTTTGCAAGCGTGTTGTTGGTATAACCAACAAAGTTCTTTGTCTCAGCCTTCTCTGTGTTAGACGCATGCTCCCCGTTACTATCCCGTTTGGTAAGAACCACCATATGAACGCCCGACTTCAATTCGAAATCGGCGTTAGCGATTCCCCCATTCTCTACGGTGCAGGTGAAAAAGAATTCGTCTCTCTTGGAGTCGAAGAAGATATTGGGTTCATAAGCATCACCTTTGAAGCTACAGATTGAATCCACCTTTAACACTTTGCCTTTGGAGTCAACGAACAAGCCAGTTACTTCTTTGCGAGTTTCCTCCAAGATGACAGCTCCCACATAACCTCCTAAAAAAAAAGAAAAGACAAAATTTGAATAGAAATCTTTGAATTTGAACTCACGACTCGGTGGAAGAAATCATTCTTTTGTATCCAGTGGAACCCCGTAAATACGGTCGCCAACGGGCCTTGAAAATTTAGCCGAGATAGCGGGGTGGCCGTAACGGGGTAGGGTCAAATTTCATGACTGGTCTAAACTGGGTGACATCTTAACGGATATATCACAATTGCATTTTCAAACAACTGTTCTTTAGTAAGCCTCCGGAATGCGATGTAATTTTTAAAAAAATGAACCTTCTAATCAGCGCGTACAATGTGGGAAGATGAACATAACTGGTTTGAATGGCCGTGTACACAGGCTAAAATAATAAAGGATTTTACAAGTTGGAATTTAAGAATGTGGCCGTTGGCCGTGTTAATGGGATGGCTGCATTAATGGGGTTTTCTTATAAGAAATTGTATGGGCGTTTCGCGGGACAAAAAGAAGTGGCCGTGACAAGGAGGTGACCGTAAGGCGTGATTCCACTGTACTTTGAGTTAGGAAATCTTTGTTTACAATATTTGCTTCAGTAGCATAAGCGATTCAGTTTCTGATCAAACTAAAAAACATATCAGCTCTGAATATTGAAAGGGCATAGCACGATTAACTACCCCAAAGAATGTGAGCTTGATGTATTGAAAAAAAAAATTGTGCGATGCGGGTTTAAAAACTCAAAATTTTACAAAGAATGTATGAGCTCATTAGCGTTATTGCCACCAACGAATTTGCAGATTTCGTAAGCCAATTTCTCCTTGAATATTACACCCAACGAGACAAAAATTTCACCAATTACTAAGTTTCACAAGCTCTTTAAGTCAATTTATATTTAGCATGATACCTTCTCTGTGCAAAGTCGTATATTAATGAGGAGCAAAGATCGCTCTTACACAAGCCATCAAGCAAGCTAACTAACACGCTAACTTTCCCAAGAGTAACCGACACGCATGCGTACCTGTGGCACTATTGTACTTGATAATAGGGCTCATTGCGTCGATCCACGCTTGAGGCCCTCCCTTCCCGGTACCCTTCACGAGCAGAGAAGGCCCGGCCGCCCTCTCGGTCTGTGAGCTCATCACTCTCTGGCTGATAATGATATATTTGTTGTTGAAGTATTCTCTGACACCGCTACGAAACTGGAAAGCGATCATGTATTCGTCACTCTTGATGTTGTAAGCTACAGACGGCCAGCCTTGATTTCCTGAGAATTTCAAAGAAAAAAGTTATGTTTATTTGAATGTTAATGTGAATGCGTTGCTCAGATAACGGGGCTAAATGAAGCGCTCGGAAAGCTGAAGGTGAGCTGTGATGTGTACACTGACTTCGGCTACTTAGAATAAACACAAACAAAATTCGCTAATTATAACAAACATTTTAGTTTACCAACGAGATAATTTGTTTCACAAAGATCTTCTCGAACTTGTTATCAAAACTTCAACAAATAAAATAATCAAACGTGACGGCGTTTGGGAATATATACTGGTGATGGATTAAGATTTTTCCAATTTTAAAACTGGGTTCGCTTTTCAGTTTAAGTTTCATTGCGGAGATAGATCAAGAAATCGAGACAGTTTTTCGTTCCAGTTCCAAGCCCTCGAAATTCGTCAAATAATCCCCTAGATCAATACATTCAATTCTTAGTTCCTCGCTTGCAAATGTGATGAAACACTGCCTCTCATATTTGACATGTTACTAAACCAACATGATTGTAAAGATTCAGTATAAACCACCTGCTTTCTTGTTGATATTAGCAGTAAAATTCAGCATTTTCTTGTCCACAATCCCACCAAAAGTATCAAGTCTCAAGGCAAAAAGTTGATCGGGAAGATTATCATTGTCGACATCAAAATCAAACGCCACAAGATATTCGTTTCTGTTGGAATTCCACGCGGTACTGTGATGTAAAACCTTTCCTTGACGGCTAAGGAATCCCGGAACAATCTTAAACAATGGTCCTGACTTTTTAGTTGCTCCTGCAAAAGCGACCTGCGAAAGGAAACAAGACTTGCCATTTTAAATTCTTCTGACGTTACGATTTACAATCATAGAAGGCAACAATACCCTTTAAACCCGTGGTCAAGATAAAAATTCTCCTTAATGATCTCAATTTATTTCTCACGGCACTAATTAAGAGAATTGCTTCAACTATCTAGACAATTGGCCAAAAATGATCATTTGATAAACTCTTATTACATGCGCATTGATGTTACAGGGAGAGAGTTGATTTTAATCAATCTTGGGTCGACTAAAAGGGTTGAGATAACTTTGATTTTTGCTTGAGCCAGGGAAAACGTTTAAGCCGGGTATGGTGTTCTTTTTCGTAAATTAAAAGAAAGAAACCTTGATAACGTTAATGCTGTATAAATCAGTTGATTGTATGACGTTTTGAATTAACAATCACGTTTCAACAATACCTTTTTGTGTAATAAATACATAAATGAAGAAAGCGCTCTCTTGTAAAAATTATTAAAACTATGACCTTTCGACAATCAGTCTACTGTCTTCGACGGATAAAAATTTGTGATAAAATGAAACGCTGAAATTTGAATATAGAGAGTACTGCGCAGAGATCAAAATTACACGTAAAAAGAATGTTCGGATGAATGCTAAAATTAATGAAAATAAAAGAATGTTATATTGTCTAGGGAGAAGGCATGAGTTGTTGTCAGCCTCAACAGTTTTTGCTGTGTGCCATGATTCCACTGTCTTGCTGGTGCGATGGTTTCCTTTGTCAATGATCGTAGAGTACTCGTGATCAGAAGTCCATGCATGTTTTACAACGTTAGAACCTTTAACACACTGTTTTTGTCTTTCTTTTTTTACCAGAGAACGCTTCATTCAAT